TTGTAATAAAATGACCGGAACATTTCACGAAAAACCGACCTCATCGGGACCATCATAGTCCTGATAAATTATTCCCAATGTGCCTCGTACTTCTTAAAAGGAAGGTATTCTATCCCACACCACCACAGTACTCTTCCAGAAAAAAGGCATTATACCTAACGGCTTAAAACATACGCCAGCCAATTTCGTGGCGTTTATAGGTGGAGGATCCCAAATAGGTCCCCGGTACATACAAGAATCCCACGACATAAGTAGACCCAATCAGGCGACCCCAATCACGAATTCAGAGCCCCCGGCACCCCTGAGATGACGCACCGTGCTAACCACAAAATAACAAAAAAAAAATTAAACCACTTTCACCGGGGTGACACAAGGCCTCCAGGAAGTCGAAAGAGAAGCAAAGAAGATAAGACAACCACAACAACAACGAACTCCCCCGAATTAGCTAAGCACCACAAAGGGGACAAACAGAAATAACATAACCAAAAAAAAATTCTGACCTGATACTCGTCGCTCACGACGTAACAACTAACCCCTCGTAACACGACACTAAACGACAAGAATCAGGCGGAGGAAGCCCGCGCACACCACCTCCCCGATTATAAGCTCACCTCAAATACAGAAAGAAAAGAACGCAATAGGGGGCCAGATAACTACCAATCAGACTAGTCCTCAGCGGGGAAAGTGTTTTTAAACGTCTGGAAGAGAGTTGTAGCCTGTCATTTTGCACGATATCATTTAACATTGAACATCTCCTGGAAATGCACAGAATATGTCCATTTCCAGGAGAGATTCCATGTTATATCCTTTTTTATGCCCCTTTTTTTCATTCTTAACCCCCCCCCTCCCCTTTTCTGTTTTTTTACAAGGTCCCTACAGGCCTTTCCTTTGGCCTGGCTCCAGGACAGTTGCTAAGTAAATCACAGTCAGCAGGGAAAGCAAAGAATTCCACACAATTCTTTCATGGCTGCTCTTCCCTCTTTTCTCCTGCTTCTGATTTCTAAACTATCTCCCTCACTGTTTCACTCACCTTCCCATATGTTTCACCTTGAGTAAAAAAAAGTAAACACTGACAGATTTGGTCTTTTTTAGAATTGAAGGAAATGAGAAACATTTAGTCAGATGATCCCTGTGTGCATGGAGGTGGGGGTCTGTCAGCCATGTGTTGGTCTGCCTGCTTTGTAGCTGCTGTAAGACATGCTACCCAATCCACGTTTTCCAGTCTCGTGCTCGTATTGTAGGGAAAAAAAGACACCAATAGAATCTAATCCAAAAAGACATGTGCCTCATTAAACCTTTTCTGTCTGCTCTTGACTAATGCTGATTTTTGCCCGGACTCATTATACCCCCAACATAATTACCGGTGAAACCATTTCTTGCCACTGATGCATGGAGTAATTGCCGTGTAAAAGAAAAAAAAGAGTGAGGATCGGGCTCCTAAATTTAGAACCATAGTCCCAACATTGTTTGTAGCCAGAACTACATGCTTTTGTCAGTTGCGGCCCCCCCTTTCCCTCATTTGGGCCGTAGCTGCCCCATGTGGGATCATTTAAAGATCTCTTGGGTCGTCCCATGATGGTTCACAGGAAAGGAGGGAGGGTTGAACCCAACATTAAACTCTACTTTCCACAGGTGGTGATGGCCCCACATGAACCACCAGTGGTGTTTGTTGATAACTACATCAAGCTCCTGGCTGACGGAAATCCTGAGACCTTCCAGAAGATCCTGGACATGAAGGTCAGTTGTTTTTTACTTTAACAGTCATTTCAAAGGATAGTTTGACATTTTTGGAAATACGACTTTTTTTGTTATTATAAAAGCAGAGTGAAAACTTGCTCTCATCTCTTTCTTCAATTTCGAAGCTGGACCTGGACCTAGTTAGCTTAGCCTACTGGAATGAAATAACTGTCAAGGTTTTGTTGGAAGGTAACTAAATCTGCCTACCAGAACCTCTAAAGTGCACTAATTAACAGCTGCACATAAAACCAAAAGTGGTCGTTTCTTTTCACTTTTGTCTTTGGTGTACGGATTAAACAAGATATAACAAGTTAGTTAGTGAGCTTTAGAAGTGTTGGTTGGCAGATTGTGTTACCTTTGATAGAGCCAGTCTAGCAATTGCCCTTCCAGACTTTATGCTGAGCTGACCTAACTGGTTGCTGGCTCCAGCTTCAACATGAACATACAGGTTTAATGCTGTTGAGATCCTTATCTCTCTTTTGGTTGAAAAAAAAAGCGTATCCCTGAAATGTCAAACTATTCCACAGCTTTAGCTTTCACATTGTAATTTAGCATTTTCTCTCTTTTTACCTAACTCGTAGTTTTTAATTTTGTCTTTTCTTGAGAACTAATCGAATTTTCTTTCTTGTGTTTGTTTGTGTGCATGGCTGTGAAGGGTCTGAAGCGCAGTGAACAGAGCAGCATGCTGGAGCTATTCCGGCAGAGGCTACCCACTCCGCCATCAGGGGCCGACAGTGGCCCCTCTCTATTCAGTGCCCCCACCCCGGAGCAAGAGTCTTCCCGCATCCGCAAACTGGAGAAACTCATCAAGAAAAGATTGTGAAATGACAAATTCACTGAAATGTCATCTTGAAAATGTAAAAGACTGAAGGCCTGGATGGTGGTCATGTCAAAGACTTCATTTTATCCATTCAGTCATCATTGAGAAAGAGAATGTTCTGAACGACAATAATATCAACACAAGCTGACGCTGGATTATGAAGACCCTTCCTCAAATGCTACTGGCTGTTGTTGCATATGTCATTCAACTCTGTACATTTTTACCAATGTCTGAGCTTTGTAACATTATTGCGCAGTGTATATACTGTACACTATATAGGGTTGCAGTGCGGCTAACTGTATTCAGTTGGAGATCCTGTAGAGAAATATTCCCATCTTTAGTCAGAAATGAGGCTGGCTTTGTCTTGGCTTTTGAAATCTCTCTAGACTGATTTGCATATGAGAACCAGCTAGCTGAAGACTTTTAACTGATGCCGTTGCTTCGGGTGTATACTATACTGTAAAGTATGTGAGCATTTAGTGTGGCGATCAGTACGATTTGACATTAAATCAAACGTTTGTTTTTGTGTATTATTTATCCTTCTATCGGAATTTGTAGGGCAAACTGCAAATTGAGAAAACTTGTTTCAACACTTTATGTGGTCTTTCATGTATTCTCAGCAATTTCACTTGCAGTATATATCACTCTCTGGAAGACAAATAAAATCAGCTACTTATTTGAAGATCAGAGAGTTTGATGCAGTGCCTCTCAGTTGTAATAAATCAAGAAAATGCAAATGCATTGGTGTACACATTCCTGCATTTAGCTACAAAACGTTGATTCTTTGCCGTGTCTGAATTGTGTCAACACTATTAAAAACATTGCCTCCATGTATCCATGTGTGTACAGAGCTTCAATGTGCACAATACCAATAAATATATCAACCTGATTTTACCAGGATCCAATATTAAATGTGGGGCTGGAAAAGTTCCCATGACCAGCTCCGTCTCTGGTTGCCACTTATCCTGCATCCAATCAGGAGCATGTAAAAGCTCCAAAAGGCGTTTCCTTTGGTGTGTCTGTGGATCTGAAAGCCCCTGTGAGGGAATAAGTTTGAAGACGAGCCGCGGGCAGCAGGGCTCCCTCAGCCTCTCTCTGCTTAGTGCTAAAAGCGGACACACTTTCTGATATTTGTATACACATTCACCGCGCCGGTGATGCTTTGATATTTTTTGAAATCCAAAGTAAAGGACCTTTTTTATTTTTATTTTCCTTTTAACCTCGGGCGCCCCTTGGACCGAATTACCGCCTGGTTGATTATATTTCCAGCGGGCAGACGTGCATCCTGTCAGGGGAGAGGTTAGCAACACCGTGAAGCATTGCAACAAACCCTAACGGATCGGAAAAACACTCCTGAGGAACTGCAATCTGTTATTCTGTTGCAATCTCCGTTTCAGTCGCTGGACTTTTGCAACGTTTGACTAGAAATGGTTGGCAGGTTGAACTTGCCAAATGTTTGTGAAGGAGATCCACTGGATATGAGCTGCAGGGTTGAGAGAGGACTTGACAGCCCGGACTCCGGGTTACCCCCGAGCCCGAGCCCCAGCGCCTGGCTGCTGCCTGTGTGTCCGGATAAAGGTGGCGTGAGCCCGGTGATTGAGGACGAGGAAAGGGTCTCCCTGGTAGGTAATACTACTACCTGAGTATTGTACTGATCTAAGCAGTAATATATAAATTCCCTTTGCATTCAACGACCACAGATTCCATCTGAACATGTACTTGATAGTCTATAAGACTTGGCGTACTACTAGGAATTTAGTATTGCAATTGTGCTAGTTTCCACACATGCTTGTGCAAACGTAAAATGATCATTTATCCTTGAAATTGCAGGGAGTCTTTGGAATAAATGTGTCCACTGCACACAGGACGTTAGCTCAGAAATGGTCACATGTCAGTTAACCTCAATGTTTTTGGAAGTCCTTTGACAATGATTTTAACATAGGCCTACCTGCGAGAACTTGCTGGATGTTCAGAAAGTGGCTTTCTGCTCTGAATGGGCCTATGAGAATTTACACTATTGGCTCTGTTTTGACTGTGTGGCTGACTTCTGCATTGCAGGTTCCAGTTTTACCCACCGGATCTTTCCAGCAGCTACACCCATTGTCCTTTGGGGAAGGCATAGCACTTGATCCATTACCGCCAAAGGAAATACGGTAGGTTGGTTTGCTGCTTGATGATATGCTGCACAAAATGGAACACCCTGAGGAGTTGTTGTATTGTGTACCAAGAAAGCTAACAACTGCAAAGTGTGTAAATGAGCCAACAAGAAGTTGGAGTTGGGCAGACTTGTGTTGTAGTGATATTTAGTGTAGGTATGATTCAGACTAGTTAAAGTAAAACCATCACACTTTCCCTCCTTTACAGATACACCTCATCCGTGCACTACGACTCGGACCGCCACTTCATCCAGGCCCTGGCCCTGCAGCCCACTGGCCGTGGCCTTGAACACTGCAGGCAGACCATCATGGCGGTGCCCCACAGTACCTGGCGCCACTACAAGACACAGTTGGAGTTCCAGCCTCGCCATCGACCACAGCACTTCAAGAGTACCACCATTGTCTACCCCAAGAAAACCAGCGCCCTCTACACCACAGAGCTGAGCTACAACTGCAACCGACTATCTAAACGTTTCCTCTCTAGTGTGGAGCTGGTCGCAGAGAGCTCCCTCAGTGATGGGACAGGTGGCCGGGAACACAAGGGTGCTATGCCCAAGGCCCTTATACTGTAGCTCCCCTAAGGCTGGCTGCCATCCACCTGCTGTGTTGTCTTTTTACACTTGTGTCATCTTTTTCAGTCCCCTTCCTAAACTTCAGACAGGAAGCACCTGTGCTGTGCGACGGTGTTACATGGTCCATACCTGCACCTTTCAATGTGTGGTCTATCCATTGGAAAGGATATTTCATTTAATATTTCACTTTTCACGCAGCTTTTCGGTTTCCAAAGGCATGCTCATGTGTGATTGTTTTGTAATGGCTGTAGAATAGGCTCATAGGACAGGGATGTGGTGAATGTGACATCAATTGGGCAATTATGAATTGTGATTGGTTTTAAATTTGAACTTGAGGCCTGTGTCCACTCAGAACAAGTGATCCCAAACATAGAGAAGAGAGAGATAAAAGGGAAAGTAAAAATAAAATGTGATGCATGCCGGGGTTTAGATGCATGCTAAGAAATCTCAAGCTTATACACACTGTAACTGTTTGTCTACAGAGGATGTAGTGATAATACTTAACACACGTCTTCTTTCTTCACAGGGTATTTTGTGTTTCTGCACAACATAGACACAAACCAAGCTCCCACAAGCCTTCTTTCTGGACATTGCTATGATTCATAATGTATTTTGTAAATGTTGCTAGATAAGGGAACTCTTCTGTTTGTTGAGATGTTGAGATTGATTTTAATGTGTCATGAATTCAGAGTTTACTGAGAAGTGGATATATATGTTTTGATATCATCTACAAGCTGCATTCCACTGCCATCACTTTCTTTGGATTGAAATTGTATTTATTATGTTGGAGTTTCAGTTTCTGAGATTTTATCAGCTGTTTAACGGGTCTCTCCACAGTCATGGCAAGGGATATTTTGTTGATGCCGTTTGAGTCTTATTGATGCTTTTATATATTAATCGCTGCAGTGCCAGTTTGAAATAAAGTGCTCATCAGTTCAATGTTGTATTTTATGAGGTGGGGGGGGACACATTTCCTATAGATCTTTTCAGGTAGGAAATGAACGGGTACTTTTGAATTTGGGTTACCCGCATCAGACCACTCACAGGGAGAGATATATTTAGAATTGTGCTGCTCTGATGCTCTCCTGTGGCCAGAGAGGGAATTACAGAGGACTACCTGTCATTCCAAAGTGAGGTTGATTCTTTGCTTCAAATCCATCCATCCATCCATCTTCTCCCGCTTATCCGTGGTCGGTCGCGGGGGTAGCAGTTCCAGCAAAGAGCCCCAAACTTTCTTTTCCCTGGCCACATCAACCAGCTCTGACTAGGGGATCCCAAGGCGCTCCCAGGCCAGCAAAGAGATATAATCCCTCCACCTGGTCCTAGGTCTGCCCTTTGGTCTCTTCCCAGCTGCTTCAAATCAAGTTTTCTATATTTAAGACCTTTGTTTGGATTTAATAAAACTTCACTTTGTGATACATAGAGATAATTAAGATAACATGCATTTGGACTTTTTTCTAATTTCACAAAAAGCTAGTAACAACATTAAATCCAACAAGAAATCTCTGTTTTTATGATTAATAAGTATGTTCTACCGAATGGATTCACTCACCACACCATTAGGGCTTATTCTATAAGTTCAGTGTTTGTTGAGCATTTCTTTGCGAGGGTGGTTACCATGGACTGTATATATATAAAAGGTGGTTACCCAGAAGATGCCTCCACCACTGGCAGTCTAAGACCTGATGAAAGTAGGTATTACGTGACTTCTTGCATAATTTCCTCAGTGTATTTCAGTTTTCCCTTTTCACATCTGACCCATTGTTCCACCAATGGAGATGCTTTTGCACAACCTGCTAAGTATTGAGTGTATCAGTTAGAAAAGGCTGTTCAAAATTGTATTTACTAGATTTAATAAAGTGTCACTGAAGCCACAGCATTTAATATATTTTCTCTAGCTTGTCTTCCTTTATGTTTAAGGTGCCAAAATATTGTATTTTCATGTAAAGATAGTACACAGGATGAATGTAAGTTGGTGCTCTAAGTGTCAAAAATAATGTAATGTTCGTATTCCCATCAAACCAGCTTTGCCCTGTTTCTTGATGGCTTTGGAATAGTTTGTACGTCCCTACACATATGCAATGAGCCAATTTATAGTACACAAACTCATGCTTAGGCTTTTTGTGCGCTTCAGTGAACCAAAAGCTAAAAAAACGACACTTTCCCACAGCACCTGAAAGCAGCATTGTATGATGAACTACATTAAACACAATTTCAAGGGTTTCAATATTTTTCTTAATACAAAATGACTGCATGTTAAACAAACTGAACTATTTAAATTGTTTGATAGATTATGGTAAGGATTTTGAAGAAAAAAAAGATAGACGTACACATCGATACATGTATGACGTATGGGTTCAGAGGTCGTTAACACGCCTACATTTATCTTCCGCATGTGGACTGAAAGTACCGTTGTTTATAAGTGATACGAAGTAACCCTAGCAAAATATGTAGCTGTATGTGACTGTGTGGGATTTTACTTTGTATTTTCACTCTGTTCTTGTCTTTGAAACAATGAAATAGATGCAACGACATAACCTATCCTTAAACTAAACTCTTGGATAGCTTGTGGCTTGTTATGCTAACTGGCTAGCAGACAGTACTACATGTGAAGAATGGAGACTTCTAACCATAGCAGCAGTATTATGGACATGTTTGAAAAGGGAAAGGTCCTGAAAATATGTGCTCCGATGGTACGATATTCAAAGTAAGTGGAGGCTGTTTTTATTATGTACTGGTAGCTATTCATTTAGCTATTTTTGCTTATAACGTCAGTGAACCATTAACCACGTGAAATTCTATAAGAAAACACGTCCAAGTTAAATGCATAATGTTAAGCAATTAACGTTAGTTTTCCTAATTTTACAACAGTTTGAAGTGCTCTGTGTCCTGCCTTAAACATGAGACATGCTGTAGGTAGTGGTACAACTGCCCTTTGTTGTGTGTCTGTTGCATACCATGCGAAATAAAGTATTTGTTTCATAGGCTTGCATTCAGGTCCTTGGTGAGGAAATACAACTGTGATATCTGCTTCACCCCAATGATAGTGGCTGATGACTTCATGCGATCAGTCAAAGCCAGAGACAGTGAATTCACTACCAATGAAAGTGAGTGGCAACATTAAAATGTGAGCGTAATCATTGTGTTTCTGTAATGTGTTGCTCCAAGCAAGGCCACTTTGAAATGATTAGCATTTGTACACAAATATGTCAATCTTGCCTGTAAATAAATGTCTTGTTGACACTTGATTTGTATTATAGTTGTGTGTTATTCCTTTTCCTCCTCAGGTGACCGGCCTCTGATAGTGCAGTTTGCTGCCCATGATGCCCAGACTCTGGCTGATTCAGCCTGTGTGGTAGCACCTTTCTCAGATGGAGTTGACCTCAACTGTGGCTGCCCCCAGAGGTACAGTCACTGACAGCAGGCCCTGATACAATATGGGCTCAGTTCATTTTTGTGTAACTTTATTATTTAATCAACTGGATTTTATAGAGGCTCAAAATCTCACATTTAATTAATTTCTTCACTTCTAATAGAATAACAAAATAGTATGTTTCTGTTTTTATGTTATGGTTTTATTTTGAATATTAATGAAGTGTTACCCTGAAGGACAGTTATACAGAAAAACTCTCTTAAACTCTTTGACAACTAAGCATGCTTGAAGATCTTTCCGAAGGTTTTATCTCAGTTGTTTGGTTAACTTTGTTGTTGTGTTTTCAGATGGGCTACGTCAGCTGGGTATGGTGCATGCCTCATCAACAAGCCTGAACTGGTGAAAGACATGGTCACACATGTCCGAAACCAAGTAGACAATCCAAATTACACAGCATCCATTAAAATAAGGTAAACACCCTTCACCCACTTATAATATGTATTTAGTTATATATCTGATGTTATACTTCAGCTACACTACAAGGCTTATATATTGGCAGATATACACTTATTGCAGTTACATCATTATCTTATTGCCGGCCAGAAATCATGTCAGTACTTTTTAAAAGGTCCTCTTCTGTATTCTTGGTCAAAATTGAATATATGTTTAAAGGTTTAAAGGATTTGGATCAAGATTGTTTGTTTAAGTTATATGTCTATACTTTAAAAGACCCATTACACCAGCATTGTCGTAAATAATCCATTCATGTTTAATACTTTATACTGTGCCAGTTAAAAACGTTTGCATATTTCAATAATCAATACATGTAGAATCCGTACCTAGTACCTTTATGTGTTAAAAATCATAGTCAAAACCTAATAATAACACTAATACAAAAATAAATGAACTTCACCCACAGAATTCACAAGGACCTGAGGCAGACAGTAGATCTGTGCCAGAAGGCTGAATCAGCAGGAGTCTCATGGATAACTGTTCATGGCCGCACAGCAGAAGAACGCCACCAGACAGTCCATTATGATGCCATCAAGTTAATCAAAGACAGCGTGTCCATCCCTGTCATTGCCAATGGGGACATAAAGTACCTTCGTGATGTGGAGTCCATTCACCAGCTCACTGGTGTCGATGGTATGTTTGTTTACAACAAATCCCAGTCTTGAACAAGTACATTAATACATCTAGACAATAATAATGACAATATTCCCTTTTGAATTTGCTAATTTCTTGTTTTCTTTTCTTTATAGGTGTTATGGCTGCACGGGGGTTGCTTGCAAACCCTGCCATGTTCAGCGGCTATGAGGATGCCCCTCTGGAGTGTATATGGGACTGGGTGGACATGGCTATAGAGCAGGGAACTTCATTCACCTGCTTCCACCAACACCTTATCTACATGCTTGAGAGGGTTAGCTCCATGCCTGAGAAAAAAGTTTTTAATTCTCTATCCAGTACCTCAGCTGTCATAGATTACCTCCAAAACACATATGGGTTGGTGCGTGATCTGGCAACATGAGAATATGAAAATGTGATATTTTAGATTTTAACATTTTAACATTTTCTTGTTTCTGTGTCTTTTTTATGCCAAATAAAACTGCTAAGCTATTGAGGTGAATCACTGATGTCTTTTTTATTCTGATAATCTCTCCCATGAAGCCAGATCTTATCAGTATCTTGTAGAATATATTCATTTGTAATAATTGCTTGTCTTAAACAGTGAGGAATACTACTGACGCTTGATTTCTTTTTTTCGTCTCACAAAATATATATAACGTGGAACATTGGATACATACATATAACAGCATCACAAAAAAATAATATATTCAGCATCATGGATTGACTTTATATTATTTATTAGCAGTCTTTTATATTAGAAAATACAATTTAAATAAGTACAAGGTAATACTGGTACAGAGTTTATATTGTCTTTTATATGCTATGTGTATATTGTTTATCTTGTAAAAAAATAAATTAACAAACGACTGTGAAGTTCTCCGCCCTGGTGATTTTTGATAACTGCCAATGAAATATTTTTATTCTGAAAAGAAAGGGAACCGGAAGTTGGATTTAACTAACGAGCCGCCTTAGAAACCACAGGAACAGGAAGTGAGACTCATAGCCTATAAACTTTCTCTGGCTGATTTCAGGAGTTACTATAGTTACTCTCTTTTAATTCGTATTTTTAGTAATTTGCTGGTAAGTTGTGCATCTTTGATTTGGAATTCTGACACAAAGCAGTCTACCTTCTTGCCATTTTAAAGTGTTGAGCTTGTTAACAATAGCTTAGGCTATTTCCTTATCGCCAGGATAGTTAACGATAGCTTTTAGTATAACGTTAGCTTATATTCATGAAGCATTGGATTTATGATGTAAAGAGTGAAATAATATGTTTCGTACATTTGCCTCCAATAAATACAAAGCACACTGTTTGTGGCAGTGTGGCGTAGATTGCAGTGACGTGAGTTTGCATGAGTTTACGTTAAGGTATTGTGAACTATGAACAGAGTGGATAAGAAGCTTAAGATACATATTTCTCAACTGAGGTTGCATT